CTGCACCCCAAGCCCCCACAAACTGCTGAACCTGCAAGCCAACGCCGAGACCGCCGCCAACAGTCATGTAGGCCGAAACTGGGACCCTTGAACCCGTCAAGCCCAAGCATCCCCCAAGGAGACCCTCAAAGAAGCACTGACACCCCCCCCACCCCCCGGCCAGAAGCCCAACATGTGCCCCAACTTGGGTAGGCTCCAGCGCCAGCCTGGCGGCCCACGCTGCGGCTGCTGTATGGGACTCGGCGCTGCGGATGCTGAAGCCCTGGGCTGAGAGAGCCGTGGGGATTAGGGGGGGCATGGGGTGGTTTGGGGGTCCAAGTTTGGGGGTTCAGAGGCTTGTTGGGGGGTGGCGGGGGGGTGCATGGGGCAAAAAGTCTGAAGACCAGCCGACGCGCATGTAAAGTTTGGTTGTTGGCGCCGCGCGAAGGTACACCGGACCTTACATCCAGAACGACATGAGGGGTTTACCCACACACACACACACCCAGAGCCCCCAGCAGGAGTTTGCTTGGAGGTGTCGGTGGGGTCAACGGGTGTAAGTACATATTTTTGCTTGCCTAAAGCGTTTCCGGGCTCTAGGATTTCGGTTCAGGGTTTAGACCTGAGCAACCAGGTGCATACAACTTGCATGCTTGCGAGCGGACAGCGTGGCTTTCAACAGCGCGGCCGCAGCCGCGGTGACGAGCAATTGGTGGAGGGTTGGAGATGTAAAGGGTGTGAAACGAGTTTGAGTCCGAAAGCATAGTTTCACGGATATGGAATGTACTGCCGAGCTACCCAAGTCTAGGTTTCTTGAAGGTTTCGGCGGTGTAAGCACGTTCAAAAAGTCAGCCAAAATGTGTTTGGAACAGGATGTGGCTTGAACCCAATGGACTAGGATTAGACGTCTACTTGAGCAGAGAGCTTTGAAGGCATTCCTGGTGCGGTGGTTCACATGACAGTCCTCAGAAAGCTCAACTGCAAACATTTGCAAAGTATTTTTCTTTTGGGGGAGGGGGGGGGACCCGGTCTCATCCTAAACTCTCCCAACCAGACCTGGCGAGGCCTGTGGCAACGCCGCTGCCTGGCTCCAGGCTACAGAGCTTGCAGGGGAGGGCGAAGTGGCCCCAAGCTGCGCGGCTGGAGATTCGGCAGACTTCAGGGTCTAGGGTTTAGGGTTAAGGGTTTAGGGTACAATTGGTGCGGCCGGGGGCGAGTGGAGCTTTAGAAGGTCGGAGTTTTGTTTTGTTGAGCTTGGGTCAGGTCAAGGGCTGGCCAGTGTTCTAAAAGTGAGGATCCCAGCTGATCCCGAAAAGCACCTGAACGCAAGACTGCAAGAAAACACCGAACAACCGTCTGCTTCTGGGGAGCTGCATGAGTGATACACTGCTGGTTTCTTAGGGCCACTTCCATGTCTTGTCTGGATTCTATCAGAGCCTTGCCCGTGCGCCAGCGTAAGAGTCGAAACCCTAATACGGCTGCCACTCGTGTATACACCCATATGTCTCTCTGCCGGGTGAAGCCTGACCTCAGTTTGTCCAGGTCGTTCATCTTCCCTATCATGCCTGTTGCCCAAGGTTCAGGTTTTAGCTGGGCTGGGTTGAAAGTTGAAACAAAGGGTGTTCTATGGGTCCAGGAGGACATCTTGGTTCAGGGTTCCGAGTCTTGATGCTTTAAAACACTGTCCTCGAACTCAGGTCCCAGCAGCATCATCCGCGCTTTCGCCAGAGATGGCCGTTGGCGTGGTGCGCTTTGCTTGTGCCTTGGGGGCAGAGCCCGGGGCAGTTCGAGGCTTTCTCTGGCTTGACAGCCCGGTTCTTCTCCGCCTTTTGCCAAGGAAGTAGAAGCAGAAAAACCCAGAACGAGCTACCATGTTCAACCCGGAACCCCAAACATTCCGAAATGCCGATTCACTCTGTGCAATACACCAGCTGAAACTCTCAGACCCTCCCCAAGAACACGACCAGGTTAGAGGCAAGAGAAAAGGCTCCGCGCAAAGATCGATGGCACCGTAGCTGCACACGGCTTCGGTAGCTCCTCAAAAGGACAGCTGGTGCCCGGGGGGGGCTTCTCTGGAAGTTGCGATCGGTTGCGAGTCGGTGTGCAGGAGAAGTGCAGTAGGCAGCGGCCCCATGTTGAAATGCGCCGATGCACCGGTGATTGGGCTACACTCCATTTGGCGCTCGTTAGGTGCTTTGGTTTTCAGTGAGATTGCCTTTTGGTGACTTTTCGCCGGCAGGCTAACCCGTAACGTCCGATATGGTGACCGAACCCATCTGAGGAAATGCTTCAGCTCGGCGATCAGCGCTTGTGAGCTGCCCAGCTTCAAAAGCCCACTTGACTGTAGAGGTCTGTAGCACGAGGGTTGCAGGGATTTGGGCCTTTCTTTGCTGGACCTCCATGGAGTGGAATTTTCCAGGAAGTTCCCCATCCGCATCACACCCACAAAAACGCCAAATACATCCATTCCAAAAAACCCTGAAAACACAACAAATTTGCACGCATATCCAATTTCAACTGCCTCACCAAGGCATCATTCAAAGAACAACCATCAGGTAAGGTCATGTCCTGCCAAAAAAACAAAAAACACAAAAAGAAAACAAAGGAACGTCACCAGGTCAGGTCCATGCCAAAACAAACCTAATCACCAAAAAAACAAAAAACACAAACATCCAATTTAGACTGTCTGTACCTTGCTTTTGACCTGTATTGGTGGCACTTTTGACTAAAAAACCCACACATCACCACAAAAATAAAAACAATCAACCTGTGCCTATCTACTACCATTCCTCCCCTCCTCCACGACCCCCACCCGCTAGGCCCTCCACCCCACCAATCCCCCACATCAAAACCTTCAATAGCCTCTTTAACAGGGCTGTCCAAGAACGCTTCTACCACTTAAACCCCCCAGTCCGAGATGCTACGACACGTGCCCATCTTGGGCTCGATATTGACACTGAGGATCTTGAAGAAATACTCAAACCCCCTCCTGTCAAAAAAACTCCCAAGAAACCTCCGCCCCCTAAACCCTTTAAACTAAGAAGAATCTTCCGCTCCAAGCAAACGAGTCATCTCCACTTCGATTTCCGTCAGAAAGCCCAAACTCTGGCCACAACAATTCAAAGAAAAACAAGAAATCCCACAAGACAAACAAACCAGCCAAATCCGCCACCTGAGTCTTTATCGACGACATGAAACGCCCAAATCTATCCATCAAAACAGCTTTCGACAGACACATTCTCGTCGCCAGCTTGGTTTTGGTAGTCGTTGGATCCACAGTCGGTGTCAACGTTGGACTGCCAGTCGGACTTGTGCTCGGCTTCTTTGTTGGACTCGTTGTCGGACTCGAACTGGGCTCTTTCGTTGGACCTTTCGTTGGAGGGATGGAGGGGGGCGCAAAAATGTCAATTTCCTCGATATTAGGGGAGGTGTTACCATTGTATGCATGTTGAAACTTGGCAGTTTGATAATAGGGTGTCCAAAGGACTGTGCGGGGAGGGGCATAAAACAGACCTGATGTTAGTAAACGAGAGGGGGCTCGCTATTCACATTTCGGGCTGCCCTCGAGAGGGGCCACAGAATGAAGCAGGACACAGCATTGCAGCATGAGACAACATCTTGGTTTTAGGGTTAGTGCGGTTTAGTTCATTTTAGGTACTTGCTTGGTGCGTCGGATTGAGACTGTGCTGAATCGTTCTAGCCGCCAGGCTACTGTGGGGCAACTGCAGTGGTTAGCTGTGGCCTACTGTAGAGTTCGCCTGTGAGCTAGGCAGGCGTGGCACAAACCAAAACCCTAAACCCGAGCTCCCTACAAAAAGGGTGGCCTCGACCTGGCCACAAGCCCTGGGCCTCCTGGCACACAGCCGTGCCGGCAATGCCGCTGCCGGCCCGGGTTACTGGGCGGCTTAGGGTGTGTTAAGGTGTCGATTGAGTCTGGGGCCCAGAGTCTGGGGTTCTTGGGGTTTTGCGGGTCACGCATATAGGACGTGGGGTTTAGGGCGCTATGTTTTCTTTCAGATGCTTCAGTCAAGTCGGTCAGGCCAAGCGGGATGCCGTGTTTTGGGTTTTGGCAGCTTATCGGTCCTTTTTCTCGGGTATTTGATGCATTGGTCGTAGGAAATTTGCGGCAGCAGTCTGGATTGGGCCATATTTCCGAAGGCGACAAGACCCCACTCTGTTGTATCGTTCCGGTGCATCGGGACATGCAGAGGTGTAGAGGTCCCCAAAGATTTGTTGCAAGAAGCTGCTGCTTGCCCTTATGAACCCAAAGAATGGCAGTCAGCGTTGGCTGAGATTCAGATGCTTTCTTGGGAAACTCAACACATGGGTGGATATTCAAGAAAATTGGCCCTAGGACGGGTGGTAGTCTCAGCAGGCATCAGGATGGCTGTATGTTCTGTTACAAGGACGTGAGATCTGATTGAGTTTGGCCGCAATGGCTTAGCAGAGGCACAGCAATGGAAAGGCCAGGCTTCTTTTTCGCCCACATAGTCAGAAAGGAGCGAAAAGTTTTTGCTTGATGCCTGGCCTTGCGTTGCCGGACTCTTTGGATGCAACAGGGGAGTTCATAGTTCATAATTTCGAGATCAGTTGTCCGGGAGGAGAGCAGAAACTGATCGAGCCCTCAACCCTAAACAGGACCTAAACCCATTTCTGTCTCTGAGTAGGGGGGCAAAGGCGCGCAGTTGCCCCGAACTCGCGGCTTGAATGTTTCACGTCAGTCAAGCTGTGACCTTAGAGATAAGTTTGCCTGTCGCTTACTGTGAATCCTCCCCAGCTCATGCTATTGTGAGCTTCGAAGTCCCCTCATACCCAAGCTGCCAGAGGCTTCTATAGTCTCCTGAAGAGATTGAACACTTTCCTGCTGATGCGTAACCTGTATAGGAGGCCAAAAATCCAAAATAAAGTGAAAGGGGTGCAAAATTGTTGAGGAGGGGATTAGAGGTGGGGTGCCTGGTTTGTGCAACCTAGACTCCTGCGGCCCGAGGCCTCGGCGGATATGCAAACCCCATATGATTCTGATGGTTCGAGGGGAAGTCAAGAGCCTGAGGCTTCTCGGCCTGCGCGTCGTCAGCTGGTGCCGCACGACGCTGGGAGGCAGCCATCGAGCTGCTCCAGGCGCGTGCAGGGTTTAGGGTTTGGTTCAGCGTTTAGGGCCTGGTTGTTTCTTGGCCTGACTTGGCGGAGGAGACGGGGTTGATTTTATGGTAACCAAAGCCCCACCAAAAAATCACGGTTTCGAGCTCGAGCCCCCCAAGCACATTGACGCCTGCAAAATCTAACCCTGACAACCCCAACCTTAGGAAGCCTTCTTGAAAGCGGGTTTGTGGTATATGGGTTCAGGGAAACCCGAAGACCGAAGCTCCCCCCGTCCCCCTAAAGCTTCACAAGGCAGGCATCGTGCCGCGCCCGTGTGTGGGTGGGTTGGTGGGTTGAGCTTATATCCCGTATCAGGCTAGATCCCTTGCATGGCCTAATTTCACTTGTTCTAATACCAGGGTGGCAACAGAAAGCCGAACTCCGTCATCCACCTACGCACCTCAGCCCGGCACAGGCCCAGCGTGCCTGCCGCATAGCGGCCGATGTCATCAGCCCCTTACTGATCCTGTTTGGTAGGGTTTTGTTTTTGGGTATGTTGGGGGTTTAACTGCAGAATTTACTGGGCTTTTTGAGGTATTGTCGTGTTGGGAGAAGATGAGCGAGAAAACGAGCCCGAGAAAATGAGCGAGAGTGAGCGAGCCAGCTGAGGCTACAATGCTGCTATCAGTGCTTGCGAACGAGCGTGCCGCTGGGAGCAGGCGCTGATCCTTCTGTTTGCGCTGCCACACGCCCTTTGTCTTCGAGTGTGTGTGTGTGTGGGTGGGTGGTGTGTATGGCTTTTAGCCGAAAAGGGGCGTTGCAAGGTTTGGGTCCCAACTATAAGATTGGGTGCCAGATTTGTGTTGGTTTGTGTACCATTTCAAGGAGAACATGCCAGACTTCAGAGCTCTCTTTTTTTCTGGGGCAAGAATTGCTGGGGATTCCCCGGTGTCGAGCCCTCAACAGTTCAGCCCTCAAGAACCTGAGCTCCGTTCCTAAAGGTCCCGTGATTACAGGTATCCATCATGGCTTTAGGGTTTAGGGTTTGGGGTCTGCCGTAGAGCTACGGATGCTGTTGCCAATTTGGGGGTGCGCATGGACGGTGCTGATTCCCAGATCAGAACAGAGGTTTGGATGCGAGAGTTTGGACTTGGGTTTTTGGGTTTATGGAAGAATTTCGGGTAAGCCCTACACCCTAAGCCCACTAAGCCCTAAGCCCTAAACTCCCTAAACTCCCTAAACACCCTAAACACCCTAAACACCCTAAACACCCTAAACCCTAAACCCTAAGCCCTAAGCCCTAACTAAACCCCACACCCAGGCCTGGCTGCGAGCGGATACCGTGACCTTCAACGCCTGCATCTCTGCCCCTGGGCCTGGGCGTGGCCTCTTACTTTGGGGCTTGCGACTTTCAAAGTGTAGGGTTTAGGATTGAGGGTTCAGGGTAGGGATTTTCCGGGCAGGACATCGTAGCCCGGATGCAGAAAGGGGCGTCCTACGATTTTGGGGGTTTAGATTTGATAGATTTGGGGTGGAACTGCGCAGCGCTCGGAACGTTCTTTGACCAGCGGTTGCACAGGGATTGTAGGGAATGTGTGTGTGTGTGTGTGTGTGTGTGTGTGTGTGTGTGTGTGTGTGTGTGTGTGTGTGTGTGGGTGCTTTACAGGTTTCGGGGTCCGTGGAACAAGGCCAGCAGCACGAAAGGTTCAAGGGCCCTAGCTCGGACCTAGGCGTGCGAGGCGTGCGCACGCTGGGAAGTGGCCCTGCTGCTGTTGCACGGCATGGGCAAGGTAGGGGCTCCTGCACCCTTTGGTTTAGGGTTTAGGGTTTAGGGTTTAGGGCTTTTGAGGTTACATTCCCGGCTTGCCGCTCATTTTACTCACATGTCTTGTGACCCTGCAGGGTTTGGGTTTGGCTTTCCGCGCGTTTCCTTCAGTCCTTCAGTCCTTGCGGTTTGGCCTCGTGCCTTCGGATTCGGAATTAGGGGTTCTGCGCACCACCCCCACCCCCCCCCCCCCAAAAAAAAAAAAAAAAAAAACTACTGGGATCTTGTGGTGGAAACAGCCTCCGTTGTCGGCTTATGCAGGGCGATCCCTTGCCGTCATGGGGCTCCGGTGAGCCTGAATGCTGCCATTGCGGGGTCCCTGTGGTCGCTGTACCTTCAAAAACATTCACCTAAGTCACCTAATTCAACTACGCCACTGGCAAGACCCAGCAAAGCCCGAACAAGCAGTCCCGAAAGGCCAAGCACCCACCGGATGTGGTGAGCTACAGCGCTACGATCAGTGCCTGTGAGAAAGGCGCCATGATTCTGTGGCCTTGCTCTTGTGGAGGGCGTTCTCGTTGTGCATCTTGAGAATATACGGTAGGACTTCAGAGGTCGCTGCAGGCGGCTTGAGCGCTGAGTGGCTAGCCTTTGAAGGTGAATCCTCGTCCGATGGCGTGGCAAGAGGGGTTGCAGCAGGGTCCGTCAGACGCACAAGGCAGTACCCTCAACCTTTCGGTTGTGGGCTTAAGGCTCAAAGTTTCCTTTAAGGGACTCTCCTTTAGACTGTCCAGGCTTCCAGTGGACGATGGCGCTTTCTCTGCTGGAAGGGCCCGGCTCTCAGATCGGGGCGCAGAGGCGAGGAGTAGGGTTTCGGCTTTCTGGGCCTGGTGCGGTTTTCTTGGTTCAGGGCTTTAGCAGCTAAATCAATTATAATTTTGATTCAATTAACATATTTGTTTTCGTATTTATACCATTAATATTTAACGTCAATATTGGCATGAGCCTTGCGTCGCGCGCACATAGGTGTGACACACAAATGCACTAAGGATGATCTCGATGGGCATCGTTCCAGATGCAACTGGGCTGCAAGACATGCGGGCAGAAGCGACTCTGAACATTACCATCTGATAACACGCAAGAGACATTGATAGTAACATGCTCTATGAGCATGCATGTATACATACACTTTTTGATACATGTGCACGTATGAATTTCCTGTTTGAACCGAGCCGGGGAGCATTCAGAGCCTCAACCCTAAGGCCCTAAGCCCCGTGCAGGTGATCTGTTTCAACGCGGCCGCGGCCGCATGTGAAAGCTCCGGAGCGTGGCGCGAGGTAGGCTGGGATGGTTTGGGGGGGGGGGGGGCCTAAAACTCTTGCAGCCCGGCCTCAACAGGCAGAGCAAAGGCCAAAACCCGGAACTTCCTAACTTTCGACCTGGCCACAGCTCCGAGCCAAGCCTCCTGGCTCCGTGCCTCCTGCTCCGTGAGCACACGCGACCTGAACTCTCAGCATTCTTTACCCCACAATTGTCCAAAATCCCCCTGAACTGAGCCCGAACCCTAAACAACCCAGGGAGTCCAATCGCCGGAAACCTTGCAGATATTCAGAACCCGATGCACAAATCTCTACGTGATGGTCATGTTTGGATAACCACCATCAGCATTCGGAAAGGGACACCCAAGGAAGAACCACACCAAAACCCTAAACCCTAAACCCTAAACCCTAAACCCTAAACCCTAAACCCTAAACCCTAAACCCTAAACCCTAAACCCTAAACCCTAAGCTTAGGGGCTGCCTGTTCGAAGAATGGAGGAGAAGGCCAGCCAAAGTCAGGAAACCCCTGCATGAGCAGGAACGCCCGAACGACAGGAGTCCATGGTTGTTGTGGACTATATTGATAAGGTTTGTGTGTTTTGTTTATGTTACGTGGACGATGGTCGGTTAGTACGCCAGTCGCACCTCGTAATCGCCCTGCGATGTGGATTCGCCCCAGCTGTGCAGAAGTGAAAAAAAAAGCCCTAAGCCCTAAGCCCTAAGCCCTAAGCCCTAAGCCCTAAACCCTAAACCCTAAACCCTAAACCCATACATGGCTTGCTCACCATGAGGCACTGGCTGTCGGCATGGCGCTTCAGGCCACGACGCTGCAGCCAGACGTGCCGGCCCTCAGCTGGCTTGTGCTCGCTTTTAGGGTTGCAGCTACGGTCTAGGGTTTAGGGTTTAAGGCCAGGGTTTGGGGTTTTAGGGTTTTAGGGTTTTAGGGTTTTAGGGTTTTAGGGTTTTAGGGTTTTAGGTTTTTTGTTTGGGTTTTAGGTTTTGTTTGGGTTTTAGGTTTTTTTTGGGTTTTAGGGTGTTTTTGGGTTTTGGGTTTTTGGGTTTTAAGGTTTTAGGGTTTTAGGGCTTTAGGGTTTTAGGGTTTTAGGGTTTTAGGGACTTCTTTGTCCATCAATCAACCATAGATTGCACATGTAGGTCTCGTATGTATATCTCCATGAGATATAGGACTTGATAACTTGTTTTTCAAGTTCCTGTGACAGCAACCCAGTAAGTGCACGGGACACAGAGATTAAGGGTTTTGCTTGACGTTTCGAATGCCTGAGAGAGAGAGAGAGAGAGAGAGAGAGAGAGAGAACGCGCCCCTCGGGGCGGCCTTCCTTTCGGGGGGGGCTATGCGTGCAGGAGAGAGAGAGAGAGAGAGAGAGAGAGAGAGAGAGAGAGAGAAAGAGAGAGAGAGAGGGTACGGGTGCCTTGAACCATCAACCTCGGTTCTATCTCTGCGAAGCTGACGGGTGCAGCGACTGGTGGCTCTTCCTTTTTCGCCGAAGTCCCTTGAAGGGGGTTCTATGTAGGTGGATAATGTAAGCCCTTAACCCTGATCTGCTTTGAGGTTGTGACCTTTGGCGGCCTTTTGGGAGCATGTGGCAAGGCGGGTGGGGGAGGCTCAGTGCCTCAAAGCCAAGCACCAACAAACCCTGAATTCATGGATTCCCTAAACTGCTACACTTCGGAAGCACAGACGAATTCAGAAAACTTCCCCGAGCCTCTCACCCGAGCCTCTCCAAAACTATTATTTGCTTAAGTTCCCAGACAAAATAAAAGCATATTCCTCCTTATAATGGGGAGTACTATCCTCCTTTTTTTGGGGGGGTTCTTATAAAACTGGTTTGAGAATCACCCCTCAAGTGGGGCACCAGGCTCATCTCTGGCCGCTGTCGCTTCTTATCCTGGGCGAGATTTGCTCCAGGCACCCGTTCGGAGTTTGCTAGTAGAGCCCCCCAAAAAGGAGAGCTGCCCAAAATCTTCTTGGGGCCCCTGCAAACCTTACCACTCTCTAAAAGTTCCACACGTGCACACCCTAAAGCTGGAGCTCTGGCCCACAGTGGGCTGAGACCGCAGGCTCTTCTCTCGTCTCTTCTCTCGTGATTTCTTCCTCGTTCCTCGGCCCGCAGAGCCTCGCCCTCCCTTGTTCCCAAGCCCTGAGCCGGACGAGGCGACTTGCGGCCGACATCGTCACCTACAACGCTGTAGCCGCGGCCTGCCATGGAGCGAGCGCGTGGCGGCAGATCGTGTCCGGGGGCCTGGAAGTCAGAGTCCGCACCCATGTTCGTGTGCGCACGCGTAATGTTAGCGTAAAGCTCGGCAAGCTTGCAAGCATCATCTCGGGCCAACACAGGTGAGGGAGGCACGCAAGTAGTTGGGGGCATGCAAGTAACTAGTGTGCTGCAACCGAAAGCAACTAGACTGTGACTAGGCATATGGGGATGTTGGGCAGTGGAACAAATGGACGTTCCGGCACCTTCTTTCGCGTTTTGACTCGACCTGGGACTTCCGGTTGGTCGGGTCCCGGGCGAGCGTGGTGGCTGTTGGGCCCTGTTCAGCTAGCCTGGCCTGAGAAAGTACGAGTTAAGCAAAACCCCGAACCCTAAACCCGAAAGCCCTAAAACCCGAAACCTGCAGACCCTTGGCATCCCAGCGCTCTTCACCCAAACCAAGAAGCAGGTCCTTGATGGAAGCCATGAGCCGGAGGAGCGCTGGGGGCGCCAGTGGGTCCCAGTTCGGCTAGGGAGGTGAGCCTCAGTAGCCCTAAACCCTAAGCTTTGGCCCTAGACCCAGGAAGCATCGGTGGGAACAGTGATTTGGGACACCTGTTCTTTGGACTTGCTTGAACAAGTGTCTCGGGCTGAAGCCGTCGTGTTTTTTTTGGGCAAGCTGTCTGGCGGGACCGTTGGCTTTGCCGGCTGTAGGTTAGGGTTCAGGGCTTAAGTTGATTTCGTGTCTTCCGGTCCCACTGTTAAGTCAAGATGTAGGATGCAGGAGGTTGGTGTAGACCTCCGATTCGACATGTATCCTGCATAAGTGCAAATCGTTGCCCGCTCAGAGCCTTAACGCTGAATGGCTCCATGGAAAAGTAATTGTGTGGGCCGGGGGGGGGGGGGGGGGGTTGGGTGGGTTACGAATCAGCAGGCGACATGCGCCCAAACTTCAGACCCTCCGACGCCCCGTTCGGGTTTGAACAGTGTTCACGACTTCAACCGCATTGTAGTTGGAGTACATTTGGGTTGAACGACCCTAACCTTAAACCCTATAAACCCTATACCCTAAGCTTCAGCAAGGCGGGTGGCAAAAACAACCGGAGCTGAACCCACTCAGCTTGACAGGACCTGCGCGGCCAACATCCTGACCCTAGACACCGCGGCTTCCTCTGCAGATGCCGGCCGGGCCATCCGTCCTTTGACTGACGATCAATGGCCTCATATGGGTGGCTGTCAAAAACTATAATCCCTTTTTGGGGTACCCAAAATATTAGGTGCCCTATTAGAATGGGATCCAAAAAGGGACTATATCTTTGACAACCACCCATGTAGTCATTACACAAGGTTATACTGAGTTTACGGATTGTAGACGCAGGATTGGGGAGTCGAAAGCTGGTATTTTTTCACAGCTGCAAGTTTGCCTCCAGCATCCCTATAAGCAACTCAAAGCTGACATGGGCCAGCACGACCTCTTAGCTCCCAGGGGCCGAGGGGGCCAACCTAAGCAACGGAAGACAGCCGAACTCCCCTCTGCACCACCCAGCGCTCGGGTCGTCCCCTTGTTTCCAGACAATGCCGCACTAGGGTCGTCTAGAGGTTGGGAGATGGGGATTTCTGCACGGGATAGCAGGGATACGGATGAGGATGGCCCCCCCCCCCCCCCCCCCCCCCCCCCCTGGGTTTTTGATCTGCCCAACTGACCGTCAAGAAGGCGTTGAGGCCATGTGCAGTACAGGTTTTTGAGTGTTTCTCCAGTCCTAGAGATTCACGGCGAGTTCACAGCGCCCAGGGCCCCCCAGCGCACAAATCGAGGGAACCCCGGGGGGCGGTGACAATGGTATACCTGCTTGCGCTTTTCCGGCTGAGGCAGCTCGACACCCTGAACTGTTTTACACTTCTAACCCTGAACTCCCAAAGCCCTTGGGCTTCGGGGACTTCTGTCAAAGATCCCTTAAGGGATCTAAGGGGGGGCACAGTGGAGTGTGCTCAGGGAACTCTTCGGGGGGCCCAACCTTTGAATAGCCCTACAAACCCTAAATCCTCAACCCCAAACCCTAAGCCTTCTAAACCCGAAACCCCCCAAAGTCGGCAATTGAACGAGGCCCCTTGCGCCAGCTCCTTCGCCGGGCTGCTGTGGAAGCCGCCCAGGGATTGCGCTTCTTCTCGTCGTAGGGCTTTACAGGGTGTAAGGGATTTGGGGTCCGACGTCGGGAAGCTCCTCCACACCGCGTGCTGACCAATCCAGATGGAGGCAGACTTCCGCGGAGAGACCCGGCAACTTTGGCTTGCTGATGGTTGTTGAGTTGTTTCTCATGATTTGCAAGCTCCAGCTTAGGTTGAGGGCTCAGTTTGCGGTTTTGCCTGTGGATCCTGTAAGATTTGTTCGTGCTAAGACTGCTAAGATTCTAAGCCCCTTTTGTTTTACGGGCATACCGTTCGCTGGAAACTCTTCGACCCGGCCCAGGTACTCGCGAGCCGACTCCCAGCATCACCTTCCTTCCTGGCTATGCTCGGCAAACTCAGCACCACCCAACCTGCAATCCGCGAGGTCGCTGGGTTGGGATGCAAGAATTCTTCTTACAGCCCCAGAAACCACGTCCCAAAATCTAAGCTGATTTAGGGTTTCGGGTTTGGGGTAAGACCTTTATTGCCGTGGAAGAGATGGATAAAACAACCGCGCATCGCTAGGCACATGGAGGAGCAGCATCGGTGCCATCACCAATCTGCAGCAGCCGGATTGCGAATGGCGATGAAGCTAGGCGGGTGGCAGAAATCAAAGCCTAAACTCAAGCCCTCGTCAGTAAGTAGGGTTATAGGGTTTTAGGGTTTTAGGGTTATAGGGTTATAGGGCTATAGGGTTATAGGGTTATAGGTTTATAGGGTTATAGGGTCCAAGCGCCCTAAAAGCCGCAAGGCCCGGCAGCCTGCCTCTCGCAACTACCACGCTGCCGACCACCTCGACAACCTGGACGACGAATTGAGAAAGCGCGAAGTTAGGGTTTAGGGTTTAGGGTTTCGGGTCTTCAACGAACAGAATGGATGCACATGCTTTGGTGGGTAGAGAGTTTAGTTGTTCAAGCTCAGTGCTTGCGATCTAGCTGTTGTATTCCACAGGTGAAGGCTGAAGGTCATGTTAATACGACACTCTGCACGACACCATGAACATACACTTTGGACTGCAGCACCTGTACAGACGTTATCTGCCAAAGGGCACACCCTCGGAAGGAAAAGGCCGCCGTGCGCACCCTACCTACTACCACTCGATGTAGGGCTTGATCTCCTCCTCTTAATGCCCGACCCCTTTGATGAATTGTTTCGGTTTAGGGTTCGTAGGGCCCGGGGGTTAGTGTTCTCCAGCCGTGGGGATCCATGCCCACTATGAGGCCACCTTCAAATGCCCCTCTCCCTTCCGCACCCACGTTGCCGGCATCCTGAGGCGGGACCTGGATTACATCGCCACCTCCAACGTGCTCATCCTGGGGGGCGGCGGAGGCTTTTCTGCCGCAGCCGGGGCCTTGCAGGCGCCCAGAGGTTAAGAGATCGCAACTGTGGGACCCTCAACTGCTGTAGGAATTTCAGTGGTCCGTTACTCCTTTATGTTGCCGACGTGCTTTCTCCTTCATATGCTCGGTTGGACAAAGAAGGGCGCCCTTCTTCCTGGATTCCGACTTCAGCTCTGCTTTCAAGCTCTTTGCCCTTGTCCGCAGTCTCGTTGGGGGTGCTCCCTTCGGTAGCATCCTGCCGCCCATTTATTGGAATACAGGGCTTCGGGCCCCCAGGCCTGCAAGGCAGAACAAGGTTGTCTAGTGAGCGCTGAATTTTGCAAACTTCCCGTAGGCCGAGGGCGGCGTAATCCTTCACGCGCGAACGCCCGACCTGGCTCTGGATGGGCTGCCCCATGCTCATGCACTTGAGGCCAGACATGCGGGTTCTTGGACTAGGATCCGCGGTAAGGGTTGGAGGCTTGGTCACCATGATCGGCAAGATGAGTTTTGGACCTTTCTTGGAAAAAGGGAGGAATCACGTAGGACATTGGGCTCAGCGGAAGAAGGGGACCCAAGCACTTCAACCTAGCTCCCCAAAAACAATGCCAGGATGCGTTCCTTAGAAGGCCTGTGTGAGCGTCTACCTTCACAGGCAGCCCCGTGGAGGCAGCAGGCAAACCAAAACAAATCTGGACCCCCTCTTGCACGCTAAACTGAAGCCAACCGCCCAACCTTGGCTTAACGCCCTTTTTGCCCCGAACCCCTAGCCTTTTTTTAGGCTGAAACCACCTTTACAGGACACCGGGCATTTCCGTTGCGCTTACGACCTGCGGCCGCTGGCTGCATCGGTACTCGGGCCAGACTGGCGCCAGCCTTGGGGCCGAGGGTCTCGGGGAAATCCTACGGTTGCAAATAGCCTGAAGCAGGTATCATACACAAAAACATCACAAAAACAGATGGTACTGTGTGGGTAGACTTTAGACCCTCAAGTAGGTATCGTTTGTATATCTACGTATAAGCCCTAGGAACGGCACTTGCTGTCAATAGCCGAATGGCCCCTTTTTGCCTGGGTGGATCCTGGGATGCGTCTAGAATTTTGAGAGGGAGGACCTGTCCCAGTGGCACCAATACCTGCCCAGGATCATGTCAGTCCAGGTAAAACGAATTGAAACGAGGCGTCCACTACGTGTGCTGAGTTTAATGGCAAGCCTGTCGATGCAGCTTTCACTTTTCGAAAGTCAAGGTGGTTTCGTTCTAATTTGCCCTAGACAGGAGTGGACGGACTAAGATGCCGTCTCAGCCTCCACTTGAAGAGCGCTCTGGCCTTTGGAACAGTGTACTCTCAGGGCCTGACACGTTGAACCCTAAACGTTTGCCCTTCAGGCGGTGAAGCCTTGAGAAGCCTCGTAACATCCTTTGCTTGCAGCGAGCCCTAGATTCTTTTGGATATACAAGATTTCAGTATCTTCAATAGATCACCTTCCGGATTGCCTGGTAACAAAGATGGGTTTCATCCCGAACCATTTTTCCTCTCAAAAACAAATAAGGGTTTCCGAGACTGGGTCGCTCCAGTCCCATCCACTTTCCTCAAGGACTCCGAGCGCGATTTTGATTACAGAATGCACGCGGGCCTGGACCAGAGCTCGATTTCCCATGTCGGGCCCCAAAACCTTGTGTGCTGCGCTGAAAGCCCCACCCTTGAAACCCTCAAGGCATCTCAAGGCCACGCCCGCACCTAGATGAGACAGCGGCGATATCGAATAAACGGGCGGCGCGTCGAGGCGAGCCGCCCATCCAGCTGCTCAATGAGCACCTAATCACCCTCCAAGCCGGATCATGCGTTCTCACAGTCAGCTGAACACCAACTGAGTCTCACCCTATACTCCGGAGCACATCAACCATATACCCCCTAAATGCTGGGAGGAAGAGCCCGCACTGGAGATGGGACTCCTTTGTGATTGTTGTACAGGATCACGTATTGTTCGCACCTCTCGCAGAAGACAGGCCCGATGTTCTTTGGGCTGACATCACTTCCTTCTTGCATCCCCGGCCCTGCTCCACCAGCAAGGGCTCCTGGCGTTGCTGCAACCCTAACCCTAAATCCAAGCCCTAAACCCTATAAACCCTATAAACCCTATAAACCCTAAAAACCCCAAAGCCGGCGAGCGACTATCGAGGCGCTCCGCCGCTGCAAATGAGGAGCAGCTGTTCGCCAAGGCGCCAGGGAAATACCAAGCGGCCCCCCCCCATGGTAAAGGCCTCAAGGCATGGTTCTAGGGTGGTATGGGGTTGAGGTGATTTCTTTTCTGGGTTTGGCCTAGACAGGGTTTCAATTTTCCATGTGTTGTAGGACCTGATGAACCTTCTATGTTTATAAGCCAGTAGAATATCTTGCAGGACCCCCAGCTTTTGGGGGCGGAAACTTCGCCACCAGCAGCACCTTGCTTGATCGGGCCTGTTTTGGCGGTGTTCTGTCCAGGCTGCCGCGTGCGTTTAGGTGAATCTACATGTCGCTGCAGGTGGAAATGAGCATCGCAGAGTACAAGGAGTGGGTTTGGGGCATTAACAGGTGCTGAAGCGGATATGTAGCGGCTGGACGGTCTTCAGGCAAAGCCATGGACGGAACCAAGAAGGGTTCTGTTAAGTGGTTGTCAAAATTATGGTTCCTTTTTGGATCCCCATTATAATACGGCACCTGATGTTTAGGGTACAGTACCCCAAAAAGGATCATAGTTTTGACAGCCTCCCAAGTATGTTCAAATCCTTCACGGTGCCGAGCTGCGAGACATGGATGTCCTCGTCTTGGGGTTGCTGGACTCGAGGCCCTCAGCCCTTCAAAATGCCACTCCCTATGACTGGTTTGAGCGCTGAGCCCCCCCAAAAGTCCCTAAGAGCCCCCTTCAAAAAATAGCCCCGAAGCCCTAAACCCGAAACCCCAACTTTGGAATTTCAACGACCCAAGCCGGGAGTCCCCTGGACAGCAGGAGTGGTACACGTCCTCTGCGAGTCCGCCCTTCAACTTGGAGTGGGTGGCGCCCGGGCTTCTGGTACTCTAGGGTCCGCAATTGGGTTCTGTTGGGGTGGGGGCTTCCTGTTAAGGGGCACGAGAGAGAGAAGACAGAAGAGCGAAAGAAGAGAGAGAGCGAGAGAGAGTCACGGGCTAGGATGCCAGCCGCAGCCCCCACCTCCTCTCGCCAAAGAAAGACAGACCCAAAACCCCTTGCAAAAGAAAGCAGAGGACAGAGAGAGGGTGCTTTCGGGGATTTAGACTATAATAACCCCCCCCCAAACCCTATTCTAATTACTAGAAGGCATCTTAAGGCCCGCCTATATCGCACGTCTGAAACCGCGGCCAAGGATCCGCCCAGCTGCCAGGGCCTCCGGCGTAGCCCGCTCGTGGACCCCGCGGGGCAGCTGCCCCTCTGACGCGGGCTGTAGATGGCATGCGGAGACCTGCAAAAAAAGGAGGCATGAAGAGTTAAGTGACAAGTGCATATTCCAGGTATGTGTCGAGGTTTGAAGCCTCGCCGGCTAAACCTTTGTAACACCCCTAGCCCGACTTAGAACCCCAACCCATCCTTTGGCATGTGGCTTGCTTTTGGGGGTTTGAAAGCCAAGCATCTGCAGAGTTGTTCAAGCATGCAAAGCTGCTCCCGGAACTGACGTGCGCGTCGCAATGGGCAGTGAGGTCTGACAGTAGGAGGGGTCTAAGCAATGGTTCCCCCACTTCAGCCGTGACTTCCTGAGGCCTGGCGTTGTACTAAGGGCCCCTAAATAGGGACTCCTGCGCTGCACCCTGCTGCCATGACCCTGAAGCGGCTGCGGAGGGAGTGGCAGGCGTGGAGTGAGATGAACGATATGGAGTCGCAGGAGATGAAGCCACTCATCTCGAAGCCAAGCCCTGCTGCCCTTTATTTACCTGAAAGCAGCTTCGGCAGGTAAAGTACCTACCAAGGGCGATTGCATAGGGGGGAGGGGAAGGTGAAGGTGCTCGGTTCCCTCTCATTACCTGTTGAGAACTCCTAAGCAAGGCAGTGTAGCGGGGGGGGGAGGGGGAATCAACACCCTGAAGTCTTAATGTGGTGCCCCGTACCTTTCAGAAATCTGACCTTTCACGTGTCACCCGAGCATGGCTAGGTGCGCGTGGACACGGAGATAGAGACCCCGCGCCTGCCCTAAGCCTGAAACCCCCAGACTTTGTTAGCCCTATCGTCTAAGGGAGGTTGCGTGGTCCCTGAGTATGGTCCCTTATACCATCTTCAGAGGGTTCTGAAGTCTTGGCCCTTGGGTTTCATGGAGTAAAGGGGTTTCATGATGGCCGTCCTCTAAGGAAGCTCGGGCCGCAAAACGCGCAGCTCATGCAGTTGGAACGCGACTTCTGGACTCGGAGGGCAGGGTGGGGGGTGGGAGGGGGAGGGGGAGGGGAGGGATTGCAGGCGCCTAGACTAAAGGGCCAAAGCCAAAACCCTAATTCCGGCTTCTCAGTTTGAGGGGTTTGGAAGGCTTTTGTATTCTTTTGCGGGTTTTGCTGCTGCATTTTGTAGGGGGGGGGGGGGGGGGGTGGTGGAGATTGCGAGGTTTAGGAATTTTAAGGCAATCCCCCCCCAAGCCTCATCTATAAAGCACGTAGACGCCCCAAGGCCCTATGTCAGATTCCAGTTGCAAACAAGTAGTTGCGGATTGTGCGGTCTGCACAACAAGGAACCTGCGGACAAGATGGCCAGGGTGTACAAACCCCCACGAGTGGCCCGTCCCTCCCCCCTCCCTCCCCCTCCGACTCCCCCCCTCGCCCCTCGCCCCCAAAAACAAACCAAAGAAGAGGGTACCATTTTTGCGGCTTTTCTGCTGCAAGAAGGGGCTTCCTGTCCGAGCCGGGAAAAATCGTCTCCCCATGCTTAGGGGAAGACTCTGCAGCCGGGTAAAAGTTGCAACACAGCCGTTCCCTCTACAAGCACGTGTGGAGACGGGACCGCGACCTACATAAACAGCACGGGCCGCCCCGTGACTTAACAGTAAGATGGTTTTGATTCAGAGTCAGATAGAGACGGAGACGGAGACGGAGACCGAGACCGAGACAGAAACAGACAAAATCCTTGCAACCACTGTGATGGCCCGCCTGAGAAGTCCAAGCCTAGGACATTTTTGCTGCTCAATGTCCTAGTCTCTTTCTGGAGAGATTTCAGGAAGAACCCTAAAAGCAGCCTAAGAGTGACTTCTTGGCTGCATCCCGAAAGGACCGTGAATCCCAGCGACGACTGGTACCGGTGGGAGGCGGAACTGCGTCCTGCGCCCCTGGGCAGCAGCCGCCTCGGGGCTTCAATGGACTTTATGGGGTTTTTAGGGTTTTTAGGGTTTTTAGAATTGAGGGTTTTTAGGGTTTTTAGGATTTTTAGGGTTTTTAGGGTTTTTAGGGTTCTTAGGGTTTTTAGGGTTTTTAGGGTTTTTAGGGGTTTTTAGGGGTTTTTAGGGGGGCTGGGTGAGGGGGCAGCTTTCGGGTTTGGAGTCCGTACGGGCTTGGAGTCCGTATGAGTCCATGGAACTGTACAGAATTATCATGTGCGAAGACTGCTCAACATGAGAATCCTACGGCGATGAAACGTTGTAGGCCCCTCCTATGTTACTTCGGCGAGGTTTGAGGCCAGTTTCGACCGGAGGCTTCTTCGATCAGCCAGTTCTGGGACGATCGGTCACTTTCCTTGAGCCTTCCGTCGGGTTTACGCAAGAAGGGTTCATGGGGTTTGTGGTGTTTTACAGGGTTCTGGCCCAAAAAATCGATGCCCGCAACCGAAAAAGGCCACCCGCCCGACCCTGTTTCCG